CTCCCACTTTCTTTGGAAATCAATGGAAAAATCTTTGGGTGAGGATTTAAAAAAAAAAGGGCTTAAAAATTAAGTAAATGTCTCTAGAGTAGAGTAAAAATTAGCTGTTCTATTTTCTGGAATGCAGATGATACTATGGAAAGCGAATGATGATTTGGTCTAATAGTAATGAAAGGATTTCTTGTTTTCTTTGAAAAGGGAGTGGTTTTTCTTTCTTCCTTTTTTAAATATTTATTTTTATGCAGTTAACATATCTTCAGAAGGAAAATGGCAACTAGTAGATCACTAACATTGTAAAGATCATGCCTGTGAAATTTGAATCAAAGCTATTCTGATTTGCCATTTATCAGGAAAACCCAAAGCATTTTTCTTTGCTATAACATTTTGATGATCTGGTTCCTTTATCCCTTTTCCCTTCTAATCCATCTTCATTAAAACAATTACGTGTTCTCTTTTCTAGTCCTCTTTTGTTACTTGTATTCTGTTTTTCTTGATAGCTCTTTGCCTCATTGTCATTAATGACTTCTGTGTTCTTGTAAGCAGTGCTGTAGCAAAAGGGCCAGTAAAACCTTGGGCATGACTGTCAGTACTTCTTCCCTTAATTCCAGGCCTGCATAGTCTGTTCTGAGTTAGAATCAGCCCTGCAGTCTGGAATATAGATTGGCCTGGAACATTTTAAACCAGGCATTCTTGAATGGAAAACAATTGTGGGCTTTTACTACAGATTGTTAAAATAATTATTAAAACATGTTAATATATATTTTTTCCTTTTAGTACATTTTAAGCACAATAATCAGACTTGCCTATCCAGTTATTTGTATGACATGAGTTGCTTCCATGATGCATGGCTAACTTGTTAGTTTAGTTTTCTGTTTGGAGACTTTGAGGATCTTAAGAAATAAGATTGTGAAAGCCTTTGGGCTTGGCCTTTAGAAACATCACTATCTTTAAGACCAACAGATTTTAGGTTAAGCTGCTACTGAATTAATAAAATCCCAATGAATGGAGTTCTAGGGATAGATTTATAGCTGGCAGAGTAATATAAAAGGAGACAGACAGGTGAAAAAAGTCAATTTCACTGGTTTATTCAATCCAACTTGTTGCTAATATTAATTACCCTTATTTTAATTACAGGGGATGGCTGGAATCTGTAGCCAGGGGAGGACAAACACTGTTAAGTGTGAGGAAAGGAAGTGCCAAAAATACCTGGACAGTATGATTTGTGGTGAGGCTAGGACACACCCTTTAAAATCCGGCATTTACCCTAGAAGGCAAATCTCAAAGATCTTGTGGAAACCCAGAGCCAGTCAATTATATAAAGATAGGCTGGGGTGGAGGAAGGAGGCTATGTACCTGCTGGGTGAAGAGGACTCGTAACTGAAGAGACTTCCGCTGGATGTAGGAAGTCCAGGGGACTGTTGCTGTGGGGCACTTGCAGACAAGGCCTCTGCAGGGTCTTGCTGGGGGCTCCAGGTTACAAGTGTCCCAGGCAGGGCCCGTTTGCCATCAGGGTGACCTCACCCAGGAGCACGGCTCGTCCTCAGGCATCTTGGACTGGAGGTCCAATGAAAGGTCAGCAACTTACTATTAAAGTGGTTGTTTCAGATCATATTGATCTCTTTTCTTTTTCCTTTTGTCCTTTCACTGTATGACTTGAATCAGTTTTGATTCTATTTGTAAGTTTTTCTCATCATTAGGAACCTGCCATTTCTGTTGCGTTTTCTTTGGCAGTCTGTAGGGATTCAGCATCCTGGTTTTTCAACCCTCCTGCAGGCACTGTGGGGTCACAAGGGCCAGTGGATCCGTTTCACTTCTCTTGCTGCATGATGGTCAGTAGCTGATGTTATGGCATTCACTCCCAGATTAATTTTCCATGTTTGAAATGTGTGCATATGTGCTTTACCGAATAAAACATCTGAATTTATTTGCTGTGTCTCTGTTTCCTCCTGTCTGATGGTGTTTTCTAAGGCAAGAACATCTATAATAATAAAAGGGTAATATGCTAATTAGACTGGACGTCATTCGGGACATCCTTCCTGACGAAGCCAGGGCCAGAGGGAAGCCAACCCGGGTCCTGGGTGCCTGCAGGTGGCCCGAGGGAAGTCAACTTGGGTCCCAGGTGCCTGCTGGCAGCTCCTGGATGCCGGAGGGAAGCTGGTGCCGGCAGCCAGGGGAAGGAAGGCCTACTCTTGCATGAATTTCGTGTATCAGGCCTCTAGTTTGTGATAATTAATTGAGGGTTTTTGAAGTAGTTCTTTCAAAGTGTCACCTATCATCAGAATGAGGAGTGGGTAGTGTTTACTACTAAGCTGGTCTCATCAAGCACACAGGTCTTCCTGAGAGCACAAAACTACTTTTAGTGTTGGACCAGCTAGTGTTTGCAGACCTGACCCAGGGTGATACAGGCCAGTAGGGAACATGGAATAGGGGTGGGAGTGCAAAGACATCCTTCTCAGTTACATGAACCCTTCGTGTGTGCCTGGCCTGAGTTACCAGAAGCAGACTCCTCGCTGGCTCTGCCTTCTCCTGTTACAGAGCTCCTGCGTGTGCTAGACTTTCTTTGCCAGGACACTGCACCCTCTGCACTTAGTTGTTGATGAGTGAAATAGAATTGTTTGACCATTGCAAGGATAGATGGCTAGTCAATTATATTAAGTCTAAGGGGAGGAAAGGGATTGAGTTTTTTTTTTTTTAAAAAAATATTTTATTGATTTTTTACAGAGAGGAAGGGAGAGGGATAGAGAGTTAGAAACCGATGAGAGAGACACATCGATCAGCTGCCTCCTGCACACCTCCTACTGGTGATGTGCCCACAACCAAGGTACATGCCCTTGACCGGAATCGAACCTGGGACCTTTCAGTCCGCAGGCTGATGCTCTATCCACTGAGCCAAACCAGTTAGGGCAGGGATTGAGTTTTGCTTTTGATATTATTTAGCCCCTTTCCTCTTGCTCACTCAGTATATAATCTGTTGGCAGATAGTGACAAGATCAAGATAGAGGATGATGGCTATGATGCTTTTGGGGTGATTGCAGAAGGCATCTTGGAAGAGGTACAATATGAAGGCACATGCAAAAGGAGGGATTTTGGACTGGGTGTTCCATGCAGAGGACATGGCTTGACCCTGGTGCAGAGAGGCTGAACTCTAGGGGCCTTGGCTTAGTGCTAGGTGGAGAATAGGAGTTGTGTAAGAACTTGTTTCCCCACCTGAGGACAAGATGCCTCCAGGCTGCTGCCAGAGTGGCCCCTTGGGGTGGCCTGTGGGGGGGCTGTGCAGGGAGATGCTCTAACACCATCTGGTCCAGGAAGGGAGTTCTCTGAACTGAAGCTCAGCATGGCAGGTACAAGCCCTGCTCCAACTCCTGCAGGCCATGTAACTTTGGCTGAGTGGCTGAACCGTTCTGTGCCCCAGTTTCCTCATCTAAGTATAAGGATAATAGAACCCACTTGAATGTGGTGAGGATTCAGCAAGTCAGTTACTACAGAGGGCATAGAAGAGTGTCTGGCACTCTGTAATGTTTATTATAATGGAACATTATAGTAAGTGAGGGGAGGTGTCCACGAGTGAGGCTGTTTTTCCCAGAGGATCTTCAGATGTATACCTATTCCAATTCCAAATATGGCTTAAAACCAAAAAACCTCGTTATAGCTTAGCCATGGACAAAAAGGTGTCCCTAAAAAGGGTGTAAAAGGCATAGCTCCCGTAGTCCAGTGCAAGACCTCAGTTTGAAACAGCTCATCTACAGCTCCTTGCTGGGCTTCATGCTCTCACACCTTGCTTCTTAGGGCCAGGGCCACCTGCTATGGGGCAGTTCAAGTTCCCAGAACCAGGGAAGTCTCTCACTATTTCCTAAGGCAAGGCAGAAGAGATCCTTGAAAATGAACCTTGAGAAAAAGGGTTGAATGTCGCTTTAAATTTACCAGAGCTTTAAAAAATGTCTTCTGTGGTGAATCATTTTATTCCATGAAGAGTTATCCACCCCCAATTTATTTGCATTTTGAGTTGAAGTTTTTATTTACTTAAAACTTGAGTACACTAGTATTCAAGACACAATAATTTAAAATTAGTATTTTTCAGCAGGGAAATGCAATTCAAAACTGCAATGAAATGAATTGTTGGCAAGAATATGGAGAAAAGGGAACCCTTGTGTACTGTTGGGATTGCAAATTAGTGCAGCCACTACGGAAAACTAAAAAAAAAATAAAAAAAATTGAACTAGCGTACTGTATGACCCAACAGTTCCACTTCTGGTTATTTATCTGAAGAAAACAGACATAATAATTCAAAAAGATTTATGCAACCTTATATTCATTGCAGCATTGTTTACAATAGCCAAGATATGGAGGCAACTTAGATGTCATTTGATAGATGAATGGGTAAAGATGATCTGGTACATATATACAATGAAATATTACTCGTCCATAAAAAATGAATTCTTGCAATTTGTGACTTG